GATAAAGTTTTCATTATAATAAATAAAAATGATCACAAAAGAGTTTGACAATCTTTCTTAGTTTTGAAATTAGCCAGTGATATCTGGTCTTTTACTGCAAGGTTTACCACTAGTAATTTCTGTATGAAACAAGCTCTATCAACCCTTTCTCTCAAATCCTTTAATCTTTTAATAACGATCATCCTCTATCTTCTCCTTACGGGGGGGGGAGGGTGTGTGGAGATTTTTTGTGTGGGGGGATCACATGGGTTTTAAGGGGGACAGAGGAGTATGAAGGGGAAGACTACAGAAAAGTGACTCCCAATTAACTTACCATAGAGGGGAATCATAAGAATATTACAGAGCCTTATGGCGAGATCAGCTGGATTTTTATTGTGACACAACCAAGATCCTTCAATCCCCTTCACCCCCCACCCCTGCAGGTGATGAAATAATTATTTTCTCATAATAAGTTAAAGTTGAGATCATGAAAATGGAGAAGCTGATGGTTAACTGAAGAAGATCTTGATTACAAAACAAATTCTCCTTTGTTCATACCATGTTAAGAGAACAGTATGGAGAATATGCATACAAATAATCCTAGAAACTCCCCCCCACCCCCACCCCCTCACCATCTCCCTATTTGATAACACCTCCCTGAAGTGATCTATAGGTTTTTTAAAACTCTTATTTTAAAGACTCCGAGTTCGCAGATTATTCCTCTTGACTATTTTTTTAACCTTCTTTCATTAAATGATCTGATGGAGTAACACTTGTGGCCACCGGTTTGATTACGGCTGGAGTAAGTTAACAAATAAAAAGCACCTTGTATCACCGACACAACAATTTGTAAAACGCAGTTTAATAAATATAAAATCTATTGAAAGGATTGTCACTAACTTTCAAATTGATATATAAGTACTATTTGAATATTAAGAAATCTCATCGAAATCAAATGAACTTTACAAATCACAGATTATTCTCACTTGAGCTGTACAATTGTGGCAGGAACACTGAAAGGAAATGGAAAATATAGCCACGCGTAAATTAATCACTAGAAAAGAAAAAATGCAACGGCTCAGTCAGTCTTAATATGGCCATATCTTTAAAAGCTCCCAACTTTTTTAATCATCCTCCTTTCGTCTCTCCTCAGTTCTCCTTTTGATCGATAACATACAATTCCTCTCCTTTGACTGAGGATCAAAAAGCCTGGAAACGGATTTGTTGTCCCTGGATCCTTCCTTGCTTGAACGACAAGTCAAGCAATCGACGGAAAATTTTAGAAGGAGTCAATCGTTGAGGGATCTGTGCCCTCGCGACGATATAATAGTTGAGAGACCGAGACTAAGACCAATCTTTCTGTCGTGAGGCTTTAAGTGAGCGATTAACCTTTTAACGCCCATGAGTGACCAGGACAGAATTTCTCCTTACAATATCAACACAACATCGAGCAGGCAAGTGATGAGAATGAAGAAAAATATCAGTAAGGGGATTATAAGTTGATCCAATACCAAATTCTCCAAACTAACATCACAAGAACTGTATGACAAACTGTAAGGAGAATTTTTAATGAGATCTTGGGAGTTAAAGGGTTAAAGGAAAATGGACCACGGTCGATCTCAACACATACTCCAACAGTGCTATTACTGATACAGAATAAGTGCGTTAATTGGAAAAAGGGACGCTAGTTGTAATGGCGGTGCTTAATCAATAGAGACGCTAATTAGAATAGAGGCGCTAACCAACAAAAACAAATTTTAGGGGGGGGGAGGGTCTCTAATTAGAGAGGGAGCTTATTATATGGAGGGAGCTAAATCTAATTATTACGGTAAACAATTTCCAGTAGATCTCTTGTCTCATGTCAACAACTGAGGCGTTGCTCGGAAATCTGAAAGAAATGCCCGTCATAAATGCATGTTACTGTTTCCAAATATTAACTTACGTCATAGTTTTGACATAAAAACATATCAGCCTGGAGTAGATTACGTAGCGCGCCATTCCCGTCATTTCGTGACGGGAGGAGCCTGCAATGAGTTCAGCGGTGCTATCCTAAAGAGGAAAACTACTGCTATCGCTACGTGTTGAAAGTTGTTTGTCACTATATGAGGAAAAAATCTGCCGAGGATACCGAAGCAGGAACATAGCAATGGCTGCTGAAGAAAACTGGCAGACAAAACTCCAAACTATCGTCGAGAGAACCTCGTTTATTTTCAATAACGAGATGCTAAGCGACGTGAAATTTGTGGTTCCTGAGTCGAGTGGAGAAAGCGAAAGTACGAAAGTGATCCCAGCTCACAAGTTTGTGTTAGCAATCGGTAGTCCTGTGTTCTTTGCCATGTTCTATGGCCAAATGGCGGAGACTAAAGACTCTATTGAACTACCTGACTGTGACTACGACAGTCTGTTGGAGTTGTTTCGCTTCCTCTACTGCGACGAAGTGACTTTAAGCGGAAGTAATGTGATGCAATTGATTTACTTGGCGAACAAGTACATGGTGCCTTCACTCGTTGAGAAATGCACGGAATATCTTCGCAAAAATTTGACAGCAGCAAACGTGTTTAGCATTCTGCCATACGCCCAGAAATTTCAGGACAAGAATTTGGAAGAACGATGCTGGAAAGTTATCGAGATTTTCACAGAGGAAGCTGTGAAGTCAGACAACTTCGTCACAGCTGAGCGATCTGTTGTTGAATCTCTTGTGAAGAGAGAAGTGTTGAGCGTGACGGAAGTAGAACTGTTCAAAGCTGTTGATCGCTGGGCCACAGAAGAAGGAGGACGGCAGGGACTTACGCTTGATGGAGAGACGAAGAGACGACTTCTTGGAGAGGAAATCGTGAAAGGAATTCGCTTTCCGTTAATGACATCAGCGGAGTTTGCCACGGTAGTCTACGACACTGATATTTTATCTAGGAAGGAGACTGGTGACATGATTAAATACTACAGCAATGTCTTGAAAACTCCTTTACCATTTTTGCAGGGAGCAAGGAAGGAGCCTCCTGGATTTCGAGTCAACAGATTTAACGATTATTGTAAGCCAACTACAGGTTGGAATTACCTGATAGAGTTTATTTCTCCGTGAACAAGCCTATTAAGTTGCTTGGAATTCAGCATTTTGGTTCTGATGGTGGTGAGCACACAGTCTCCACTAAGGTCAAAGATACAGCTACTAACTAAACTGTTGTCGAACGATCAGGAATATTCACTTCAGAAAAGGACGTGAAAAATAATTATTATGGCTTTTTTGTTTCGTTTGGTAATCTGGTTTGCTTGGACGTAAATAAGAAGTATGAGTTAGAGTCACTTATCAACGGTCCTGTGTCATGGCACGGAAAAGATGGGCGAACTTCTGTTGAAGCAGGAGGAGTGCAATTTACTTTCAGTAATCCAGAATATGGTGGTAATGGCACCACCGTAGTAGGAGGCCAATTTCCAGCTTTTCGTTTCTTATCAACTGCATCTGTATCTACGAACAGTTGATATCAATATCCTGATTTTGTTAGTTTTTGCGAAATTGGTCACAGTATTTCTTACTGGTTATTACAGCCAAATTGTACCAAGCCTTGCAAACGAAATGAATCGGTAATTAATCATTTCTGTGAGAGCCTTAAGACATTGAAATAGTGTCACCGAGACAGATATTTTACCCAGTACTTATCAGGTCAAATTACAAATAGCTTGTCAAATCAATTTTTGTCAAATTCTCTTTCATTATAATGAATAAAAATGATCACAAAACAGTTTGACAATCTTCTTTTGAGATTGCCTGTGATATTTGGTCTTTCAGTGCAGGGTTTAACACCGGTAATTTCTCTATGAAACAAGCTTTATCAACCCTTTCTCTCAAATCCTATCCAATAACACCTCCCCGCAGTGTTCTGCAGGGGTTTTTTAACTCATATTTTAAAGACTCCGTGTTCGCAGATTACTCCTCGCGACTTGTTGTCAGTCAGTCAGTCTTAATATGACCATATCTTTAAAAGCTCCCAACTTTTTCAATCATCTTCGTTTCGTCTCTCCTCAATTCTCCTTTTGATCGATAAAATATAATTGCTCCCTTCCCCTCCCCCTCCCCCCCCCAACTACCACCACTGCCTCCTCCGAAAAATAGCTTGAAAACAAGTACACAAGAAAGGGAGGCTTATTACAGAAAACACGAACGTTTTGAAATTAATCCTACCTGCTTATCTACTTTAGAAAATATACAAAACTCACTTTCTACAAGCTTACAAAATAAAGACGTTCGTAGTTCAGAAATAACTCCATGATACTAATAACTTTTGATTTCATAAATACTTTTTTACCTGCCTGGCAAATAGATGTCTCTAGTTTCTATATAACCTGCGGCTAACACGCTGAAAGAAAACGAACCCACGAATTAATAGAATTAACACTAATAAACAAATTGAAGAAAATCAAAAGCCAAATTATTACTGGCGAGCGCCTCCCTTCGTGGAACCTTAGCTTAATTACGAAAATCATTTTGATAATATTTGTTACAGCAAACAATAGTCTGAGATTATTTCATATTGAAATAAGCACTCCTTCCGAAAAAGGGGCGCTTATTTCTTTTTCGAGAAACGGCAGAAATTGAAACAAAGCTTCGATGTTCATGTGACTGAGGATCAAAAAGACTGGAAGCAGATTTGTTTGTCCCTGGATCCTTCCTTGCCTGAACGACCAGCCAAGCAATCGACGGAAAATTTTAAAAGGAATCCATCGTTGAGGGATCTGTGCCCTCACGGCGATATAATAGTTGAGAGATTGAGACTAAGACTAATATTTTTCTCGTGAACCTTTAAGTGAGGAATTAATCTTTTAACGCCCATAAGTGACCAAGACAGAATTTCTCCTTACAATATCAATACAACATCGAGCAGGCAAGTAATGAGAATGAAGAAAAATATCAGTAAGGGGATTATAAGTTGATCCAATACCAAATTCTCCAAACTAACATCACAAGAACTGTATGGCAGACAGTAAGGAGAATTACTAATGAGATCTTGGGAATTAAAGGGTTAAAT